GCCAATCCTTTGCGGTGTCCTTCAAGGAGAATGGGAAGACTCTCAGTTTGATCTGCTCCTCGGAGACACCATTGGGGCACATGCTTGTGCACACAATGTGGAACTCCGACAGGTGTTTGTTTGGATCCTCCCCTCGTAAGCCATGAAATGATGGAAGGAGATGAATGAGCCCAGATTTTAGCTCAAATGTGACCCCCGTATCAAGAGTTGGAAAAGTGATACATAGAGGTTGTTGATCTAGATTCGGAGCCGTGAGCTCCCTCAGTGTTCTCGTTTCATGAGCCATAGTGATTGGCTCTTCGGTCTCGCTAGATTGAGAACTAGCACTTGATGATTCCTCCGAAGAAGTATTCGGAAATAAATTCCTAAACCTTTCGAAGGCTTGTTCCGTTTGGGGGTTTGTTTGGTAGATGATTTCGTTTATAGATCGGGTTCTTACCATATACTCAAACAAAGCTCAGAAGAAATAGAAATCTTTATACTTCAATTTTTTTTTCTTTAAAATAAAATAAAAAGAAAAATAAATTGCCTTTCCCCGGCAACGGCGCCAAATTTGACGTGCACTTTGTCGTGAGTGCACTCAAAATAAATTCAACACTAGCACTTATACGTAGTATAGGTGAAGTAGAGTTCGTATCCACAGGGAAAGGAATAACTTTCTTTTTATATAAATAGTAAGTAAAGGGGGGGTTTTGATTGTTGAGTGATTTAATTAAATTAAACAAGAAGATGAACGAGTTATATGGGATTTAATTCAAAGATAAAAGTGACTTGGCATTGCTACTTTCCACTTGTTGATATATTTTAGTCGATCATTGTTATATCTATAACTTATCTCCTCTCGAATACTCAATCGAGGAGTATATCCAATTCATCGAGGATAGTTATTAATAACGACCGTTCATTAATAACTCTTACTATTAGTCAAGTATAGAACAACGCCATATACCGACTTGATAGTAGCTTTTAATCTTTTAACTCCTTGATGAAATCAATTGAGATTGATAACCTTAACACAACGGTTTCGGTTTAACCAACAAAATTAATCCCTCTTAAGTTTATTAACCACCACCGTGCATTAATAAACCGAAGTTACTTACTTGTGAAACTATCAACGATTAACCATCGGTTCGTTGATCGTTTCTAGTAATAATTAATATGTGAAACAAAACTAGTTGATCCTTTAAGTAATGTTCAAAATATTAATATGAAATATGAATAGAAATTAATTAATACTCAAGGAAGAATATTAAAGGAAATGAATCCTACTAAAGTTAATATCAAGATGTTAACTAATTGTCATCTTAGTAACACTCCCCAATATTAACTTAGAGGAAGGAATAGCTATTACTAAGATCAATGTCAAGATGTTAACTAATTGTCATCTTAGCAACACCCCCAACATTGATATAGAAATAGTATTTAAAAGAAGAATTAATATTCAAGGAAAGAAGTTAAGAAAATAACTCACAACTTTAATAATCAACAAGCTTCAAGAGCAATACCAAGAAATGGAAGTTTAGCTCCTCATTTGGAGACTAAACATGATAAAAGAAATATAGAGAAATGCTATTCTAAACTGAGCTTAAGAGTATATAGGAATTGGTCCTTAAAAGTGAAGGAAAGGAGGTGTATTTATAGGCTTTTTGAGGTGCAGGTCGGGTACTCGATCGAGTATATACATATACTCGATCGAGTATGTGTAGAAATCAGAATTCGGTCAATACTCGATCAATACTCGAGTAGATTTTATATGTATACCCGATCGAGTATGTCGGTGTACTCGATCGGGTATGACAATAGAACGTGGCCAAATCTTTCCTTGCATGTTCATTTGTTCCCGGATCGGATCCTTGAAAATCAGTATTGGTACTCGATCGAGTATAAGGTATACTCGATCGAGAATACTCCAAAATCAGGAATTTTTCCTTCTTTTTGTCTTGTACTCTTGCACCTTCCTTCACCATTGATCATTTGATTGATCTTGGACCTGTTTAAGCTCAGAATAAACCTAATCTAAACAATTCACAAGATTTTAACAAACTAACTATTACACCAAAAGTGTGTAATTTCCGAAATATTAAACAACCAAAACTAACTAAAAACGTAAATAAACACACGGAAATTACAAACGTATCAGAAGTCCTTGGCTAAATTCCAATGTTGACTGACTTGATGCCATCGATATACTGTATTTAACTTCTTGCAGTTGTCGGTTGCTTTTGTAAAGCTCCTTTAACAAATTAGAGTTGTTTCTCATCACTGACGGTTGAAATTTAAGCCAAAGTAATTAAGATGAATCTTACGTAGTAATTTTTTACTTTTCCTAAAGTACGCGTTGGTATTATGCTTTCGGATGTACTAGCGTATAAAGATATTATTATGGGTGTGCGCAGTCCGAAACGGTCCGATAAATTAGCAAAACTCATAAAGTAGTCAGTGAAATTTCTAATGGTTCGGTTCGGTTCTAAGAATGGAACTATTCGATCCCATGTCGTTTTGGAACGGTACAAAGCGGTTCGGTACAATGTCAAACACATGTCGAAACATTTGAACAAATCTTGCAATTAGTAGATATCATCACACAGTCAATTCACATGAAATTTTGAAAAAAATACAAGAAAGTGCATACTAAATACTAGGAAAGATTCAAGATGTTAACATTTTTGTATTTAAATTCAAAAATACTCAAATAGTACAGTGCAACACAATTAAGTAAAAATGTAGCAAAATAACAATACAAATTCCACTAATATTACTCTTTTAAGAGTTACGGACAAAAATGTGACTTGATAACTTTTAGTTACTATAATTATGTCCAAAGTTACTATGATGTAGTGACCATAATCTAAACTTTGAACACAGTTATAGTAACTATAAGTTCTCAAGTCACATTTTTGTTCATAACTTTTGTATTAGTAATATTTTAGGAAAAACCTCCTAGATAAATATCATCCTCATTAAATTCATGTGAAAATATAAAAAAAAATATCGTTAAATTGTTTAATATAATAGAAAAGTTTAATGCACTTCTTTGTTTTAAGTTGAATATTAGTTTTAATTTAATTCATAGTTGAAACGTAAGAGCTAAGACTCAAATCATACTAATTAATTAAGTTGTAAAACTACACAAATATGATTCAACAAAAATCATATTCTAGCATTACTAGAAATTAATTGTAGTAATGATTTTTAAAACTTTAGCATTCTTTCAGTATATACCAAATATAACATACATTATCTGAAAGGAAAAAATAACAATATTTCTATAACACACACTTAGCTATTTTAGGGATGCATGAATACATACTTGGGATTTAAAATTGTTGGCCTATAAAAAATATTTATTGGTATGGAAAAAAATAAAAATCTCAAAGGCATTATTTTTTAACGGCTCGTTCCGGTATTTTTAGGTTCTCAAAATCTAGGATCGGTCCCTTACACGTTTGAAACGGTACTATTTCAGTTCAGGATAAAATTGTACAAAACAATTTAAATACACGATATTCGGTTCGGTACCATTACGAACCAGTTCAGTTCGGTTTTTATGTCCAACCCTAGATATTATTACATCCGTCCCCCTAAGATTAAGACAAAGAAGAGTGGTGTGGTTTAAAAAAAGGTAGAATTATATGGTTAATAATGAATATATAAAGTGGGAATAAAGTAAGAATGAATTAGACCCACACAAATATTACCAAATATGGAATGAGACAAATTTAGCGGGACGGACGCAAAAGAGAAAATGGGACAATTATAGTGGGACAGAGGGACTATAATGTAATTCTCCCCTTGTTCCTTAAAACTTGGACAAATTTGACCGGTACGGGGATTAATAAAATACAAATTGTGTGATTGAAGTTTGCGCACATGAGAGAATTAACTGTAACCACAAATTCTTTACTTAAAATAGAAAGTGGCAAAGTTAATGGAATAATGAAAAATGAAAAGTTGGCAAAAGTTTTAAGGGACGGGGAGTAAGTACTTTTTGAAAGGAAACTGATTATATTATATCAACCAAACGACACAACATACTTCTCCCCTTACAATCAACCCAAAGTTCCTCAACCAAGCATCTAAAATTATGACCCCACTTATAACGCCAAACCTCCTCTTGAGGCTCCGCATAGCCCAAAGGCCCCCCACTCTCTGGCTGGACTTAGAATAGACCACCCCGGAAGGAGCGAGACTATTCGCGAACCATGTGAGAGTTTCGAAGCTTATACCGACCAAACAGGCCTTATCGCTTCCACCAAAAACAACATCCCAAACCAAGTAAGAAAAAACAAGCTTCAACCTACTGCTAGAGTTCCAAACAAAGAGACAAGCAACATGAGCAAAGTAAAAAGAAAAACAATAGAAATAAATAAAGTCTTCTTGGCACTCGGCCTTATTTAACTCCCAGAAGTGCGGTCCAGTGACCCTCAAAAGTGTGCCTGGCGAGCTACAGACGGGGAGTAAGTACTTCAATCCATCACTTTAATAAAGTTTATTTCTCAAGAATGAAACTAGTGATGACAATTTAGTTTACTGTCCAGTTTCTAAGCTATCGGTTTCGATTTGTTTCGTTTTATACGGTTCGAGAGATATTGTTACAAATAAAATCATTTGTGTTTCGACTTAATTTGGAAGTGACTCGTTTCAATTTAGTACGTTGATTTGATTCGATTTAATTTATTTATTGCTAATAGTTTATTTGATATATACATCGAAGTTCTATTTTTTTTATATAAGCAAGATTAATGTGACATCTCTTCTCGAACGTAACATCAATTTTCAATTACGTATAATGTAGAGCTGAGATTGAGAGTGATGGTTGGTGCCCTTGGGTTACCTCATCTTTCAATGTTGTGGGCTCATCTTGAAGGTCCATTTGTTTGTGATTCTTTGAGCTCTGAGGTAGGTATTAATATGCTCAATCACTCTTCAATCATCCAAAAGGCCCATTGGTTCTCACCTAACTTAAAATTGGAACAGTCGAATGGAGCACAAGGATTATATAAAATTAACACAATTTTCTTGACGATTGCATAATGACAATTAGAAAAATGTTTTAATTACTCAAAAATACAACGACACAAGTAATGTGAAGAATACATAAAATACAAGACATGTTATGTTGAACTCAACTTTGTTAGCCCGGATTAATCAAAGTCGGATCACCTCAAACTTTTTCGATCACTTAAACTTATTTGAGTGATATACCAAATGAGATTGATCATGAGATGAGATTAGATCCGAAATGACGAGCCCAGACCAGATATTTATCAAGTACACCGGACCAGTACAAAATTGAACCGGCCAAAGCAATCCAAGCAAGGATAGACACTACCAGACCAAACTTAGATAATATTGATACACACACTTGGAAGCAGCAACCCCTACTACTTGTCTCATTTTGTGCCTCAAAATGTGGCACACTATGTAACTCCCTTCGTGTGGCCTGCGGCTTGTGCCGAAAATCAACACGAAATAGATTTGGGAGTTCGAAGTCATCATTGTTTTTGCCACGTGACCTCCTTAAGTGTGCATACCCACCAACTTCCACCCATGCAACTTTCCCCGCTGGTGTCTCCTTGTGTTGAGATGTCAAACTTTCTACTCCTAGAGCTGCCATATGTATGATCAAGGGTAGATCAAGCACACAAAAAGATCATATTATTGGTAACGTATGAGGGCAGATCCGGTATAAAATGTGCTTACTGTGTAAAACTTTGGGCGATATATATTTATGGTATTTATGTTGCATATTGATGTTCAAAGTGTTGAAAATTCCAAAATAAAACTGCCATGTTTTTATTCCTAAAATAGGACTAATTACTGTCATGTTTTGGCAGTACCAGAATTCAAACATGGCAGTATTTTCCAAACTTGGCAGTAATTACTTCTATTTTGGGAATAAAAAACACGACAGTCCTATTTTGGAATTTTCAAACTGTTTTAGTCCTATTTTGGGAACTTTCCCATAAATATATGTAGTATATTTACTGTTATAAACATGTTTAAAGTGAGTAGCGATCAGTAATATCCCAAGAATGTCCAAAGTTTAATGTTCTAACAAATCTTACGTGTTAAAAACGATGATGCATTTTGAGCAAACAGTGGATTGCTGACACTATATTTATTTAACGTGGCTATATACATAAAGACAAGTTTAATTTCAATGTTGAAAATTGATAATATATGGTGGTTAAATCTGCGCAATTTGGTAAAACTCTGGTTGACATATCAGAATCGGTTAAATCAATTGTATTATAAAAGTATTATATTTGAAATACATTTTATTAATAAAAGATTACACTTGTACTTATTAAAGTATATAAAATATCCTCTTTAATTTCGTAAATCCAGCTAATTGACCTAGAAAACTAATTTTACACAATCCAATGCATGGTGTAAAAACTTACTTATATATGTACTCTCTCTCATTGTAAATAAACTTCACACTTTCCTTTTTGGATAGATCCAAAATAAATTTCACATTTCTATTTTTGACAACTTTTTACCATAAAATTACCCTTATACTCTTACTTTATTACCTACTTTACACCAACTTTCTCTCCCCCACTACACTTTATCTACTTTTTGTAGGGGTATGGTGGGAAAGTCAAAACAAAAAAAATCACTTTCTTAAAAACCGTAAAGTCAAATCATGAAGATTATTTAGGACCGGAGGGAATATTTGGTAAAACGTAACAGTTGACTTACAAAGTTTATACATAAAAAATTGAGGTTATAAAATGGATTGTGTTTATTATTGGAAAGTTCTTGAAGTATATTTTTCTGTTTTTTTATACTTCTAATAATATGTAACATTTTTTGAAAAACTAAATTATTTTTAAAATTAAGCACAAGTAATTAACAATTTATATATCGTGTAAATAATATTGACTCATGCTAAAATAGAGAAAGAAAAGGATGTGGATATGATATCCTTATTAATTAGTTGCAACTATACACTTTTTCAACTATTTATATAATTTGCACAGATTTCATTTTATTTATTGATGTATGAACAAAACATAGAAAACTATTTTTATACATTATTACTCCATCTCAAATTCCAAAATGTGATGTTTGAAAAAAGTCAATCAAATATATTAATAGCCAAAGTTGTACGTTATTAACACTTAGGAATTGAGACCTTTATAATTAATTAACAATAAAGGAATAATAAAATTACGTACCATGCGTGACAATAAGCAGGTTCTCACTAGGATATTTATCGGCAAGGGCGCGTACAACGTTCCTATACCTACCATATGCAGCTTCTCTCGCTTCTCCCCACCCTGGCAGCTACGATAGTATATACGAAGTAATTATTATAATTATATAATTATTTTTATTACTTCTTTTAAAAATTGAAATCATAATAATTAATGTGAAATAGTGATTTAAACATGTGTATTTAATTTACAGTAAACAAATTACTTAAATTAAACACCTGCTGATAAACTTGTTCATAAGTCTCGGGATCTAGGTATACGGTTTGTGATGGGAAGTCAACTTCACACTCTGAGATATCAAATCCAAAATCTTCATCGCGAGGCGGCGTTTTTATGACTTTGTCGTTCATAACTTCTGCTAATCCAAACTCAATACAAACCTGATGAGACGCATATACAAAGTGTGATATATGAATTAACTAAAGAAGGAAATTAATTAAAGATAGTTAATGGTTCGATTCTTATATAAGGTTTAATTTTCGATCACAGTTAGGTTTTACTATACAGTGTGAGCTGAAAGTAACCAAATAATATACTCCGTTGATAAAATGTGGCCGGATGAACTTGCAAAAGATCCTAGGCGGAACCAGGATTTAGTCATAGGGGACCAATAAAAAATCCTTAAAATATGACTAAAAAAAATAAAGTTCATAAATAGGGTTATTATACTCTGTATTGTTTTATTATCAAAATAGTACTTATTCACTACTATTTTGGCAAGCTTTAATCAAATTATTCTTGATAGAACTAAATCAGATCTATTTGAGGAGTAAAACAATTTTGTCATATTTTCAATCATATATATGTAATTTTTTCTTCAGGAATGATCCTGTCAAAAATAACTGACGAGATTCTTTTTCCAGATGCCTATGTTTGAGGCGGGTGGATTTTTTTTATAAAATTTTGTGACAATGTTCTGTGTACATTGTTTACGCCAAATTTCAGTTTAAAATTAAATCGGCAAGTCAGTTAAATAAATTATTAAAAAACACTGAACCAAAATATATATAAAATATGCAATGTTTTTCATAGTTTATTTAATTTACTTTCTGATTGAAAATTAAACTGAAATTCGGTGGACATAATCTATACTTCATCATGAAATACATGTTTACAAAATTTCATCAAAAAAATCTACGCGAAAGTAACTCAAATGGAGGCTTGTAATTTTGACCTAATTTTTTCTGATTATTTCAATATAATACTAGTACTACACACGCCCGTCCCTGCAAAAGACGTTAGGAAAATAAAATAGTCAGAGACGCATGAACCCTGTCTTCATGAAGAAAGTATTTCGGACGAGAGAAAACTTTTCTCGAAGAAAAAACGAGCTCTTTGACCAAATTATGTGAAATTATTAGGGAGAAGCTAAGAAACCTTAATCTCTACGTCGGGATCGTTGTACAATTTCAAGAGGGCTTCGACGGTCTTTGAAGCAGTCTGTAGGCAGCGGAGGAAAGGGGAGACAATAACGCGGTCGATCGGGGCTCCAACACCATCCTGGATACTCTCCGCCGCATCGGAAAACAAGTTTGGTTCCTCAGTGACGCATATCGGCGGGTCCCAGGGACGGTTGTTCTTGTTGTCGCTAGTCCACCTCTTGTCGACGGTATCAAGACGGTGTCCATGCCTCATTACGATGACGTTTTGGTACCCCATTTTTGCCGATTAATCTAAATCCCGACCGTATTAATTTCTTAATCACCAATATATTATTGTTAATTAATGAAAATATATATTAAGAATGTTTCATGAATTCAGCAGCTAGCTATATATACACGGAGTTCCAGCTTGAGGATTTAGAATTAGAAGAGCTTCACTTTACAAAAACGCGTACATTTGTTTCAGTATTTTCTCAATACTCCGTATAGAACACGTTTTTTTTATTCTCTTACACTTTATAGAAAAACTCATGCACAAATACAAAATACGTATAGGAGTGTAGCTCTATTGAACTTAGCCCTGGTTTACTTTTGACTTGATAGACTTGATGAGTAAGACCACTTAGTCATTCGATCATATCAAGGTGTGTTTATTTATTATTTAAATGAAAACATAACTTAATTATTCAGTCAAAAAACTGAATTAATTGTTAAGCAGGAATATAGTAATTCTTGACATTAAGACATACTACGTATGTTAAGACATTTTTTTGACAATTTTTTTAGATCGATTGTGAAATATATTTTTCTTTTAATTTTCGGGCAGCTTTGAAAATTGGAGTTACTTTTAATGGTCCTTTTCAGACGTTTTTAACGGCGTGAACCACTTTGATAAAGAATGAAACACATGACCCTATCTGAAAATGGGTCCAACTACAAGTACATTTTCCGTACTTTTCCCTATAATATAAGAATAATATGTGCTACTAAATTGATTATTTTACTCATGTTCGGATGATTTATTTATCACATAAAGAGCCCGTTTGGAGAACTCTGTTTTCGGCTTATCAGGCTTATCAGCCAGCTTTTTCACCAAACACGTAACTTTTACTTTCGCGCGCTGAATTGTGTAATAAGCCGAAAAAGTAAGGTTGGAGTTACTTTTCTGGCTGTATTGGCTGAAGTTACTGTAGAGGACCATTTTAGCTATTTTTACATATAATTTTTTCTTTAATTTATTAATAAAATATATTTTTAAAATATTTTTTTCTTAAATCAGCAGAATCAGCCAAAACAGCCACTCCAGCCAGAATATTATAAATTTCAGCAGAATCAGCCAAAACAGCCGATTTTGATGCTACCAAACGGGCTCAAAATAAACCGTCTCAAACACAAATATCACTTCATCCAAATAGACAACATATTAATGCTAACAGGATTTAATAGAAAAAGGTGAAGAACACCTTATTCTGTAATCATGCCCATGGCCCATGTTGGGCCCACTTCACAACAAAGTCAACACAATTTGTTGATAATGCAAGTCAGATTATCCTTCCAAAACATTTTCCCAAACCTATGAACTACGTAGAGCGGCCTTTCGTCCAAAGGATGATTCAAGTAGGATCAAGTACTGTACTTCACTTATCCATTCTTCCCATTGGAGTACTAATACGTGCATATTTCGATCATGACTACCGATAGACACTCCCTTCGACCCCATCCCAAAAACATTTACCAACTGTTTAGGCAAGGAATAAATAACTTCCTCCAACAATTAAAAAAGGATCTCCGATAGACACTCCCTTCGACCCCATCCCAAAAACATTTACCAACTGTTTAGGCAAGGAATAGATAACTTCCTCCAACAATTAAAAAAGGATCTGGGACTCGTGCAAAAAACTATGATATGAACTATTAATGCTTTGATATTGATAATGGAAACAAAAACAAGAGATGACAATGTATTTGATGAAGTTCGAAAGTGATAACTAGTAGTAAGGCTGATAGGAGTGACCGTTCCTCCTCTACAAGTGATATATTTAAACTAATTTCCTCCTCCTAAGCCAACTGTCCACCGAAATAGCAGGGGATGGTGGATGTGCTTGGCTATTCTTTTGCTCCAAGTTTTATTTGTTCTTATCTTCTTCTAACGGTCCACTAACCCTTGATTCCGTCGGGCTGGATCCTTCCTCCTTTGCTGGGCTTCTTTATAAGTCCTTGCAAGGCGGGCCGAACATCCATTAAGTCCATCATGTCCTACGGGTTAGAGCATAAGTTTAACTAACCAACCATGGGCCTTGCTACTGGACGAGTTTTCCTTGGCCCAACACCAACCATATTTTTACACGTCAAATGGAACTATTTTTAAATATGAAAATTATATTAAAATACTCCTTATTCAAAATATTTTTATAAAATATAAAATTTTTTGAATTATACACAAATATATTAAATTACACAAAATTAAAATCATTAACCAAACTTTGTCATCATTGATCAAGAAAAAAATATATTAAATTACACAAAATTAAAATCATTAGCCAAACTTTATCATCATTGATCAAGAAAAAAGACAAAACTATTTGGAACGGAGCTAAGTAGTATATAATTCTTCTTCTTAATGAATAGTATTTAGAAATAATGTTTCAGTAGCTTTCTTCCCAAAAAAATAATGTTTCAGTAGCTATATACACGGACTTCAGAGAGCAATTTTGTTATAATTTCTACACATTTCAAATTTAAAAAAATCTAAATATAGATATTCAGAAAGAGAAAATTTCAATTCTTTTATAAGCAGTATTGGTAGTCTGGTACCATTGAAAACAGGGGCGGAGACAGGGGTGGCTGGCGGAGGCCATGGCCCCTGCAAGAAAAAAATTGTAATGTGTATATATATATATATATATATATATATAGAGGAATGATCCTGTCCAGCCGGAGGGACAGGATCTTCCGTCCGGCCGCCGCCGTTTGGGGCGGTTCCCGGTGGAGTTTTTTTATGAAATTTTTATGGAATGTTCCTCATCAAGTCTAGTTTATCCACAAAAAATTTCAGCTAAAAATTCGATCGGGAAGACAGTCAAATAATTTCTTGAAGATAACTGCTCCAACTTAAACATATAAAACACAGTTATGTTTCAAAAAATTATTTGACTGCCTTCCCGATCGAATTTTTAGCTGAAATTTTTTGTGGATAAACTAGACTTGATGAGGAACATTCCATAAAAATTTCATCAAAAAACTCCACCGGGAACCGCCCCAAACGGCGGCGGCCGGACGGAGGATCCTGTCCATCCGGCTGGACAGGATCTTTTCCGTATATATATATATATATATATATATATATATATATATATATATATATATATATATATAGGGTAAGGTTCAAGTGAGAAGAACCCTTTGGGTGAGAAATGAGAATGAATCTCAGCCATTAGATTCGACTAAGTTGCAGTAAAAGACACTTTACGATGCACTGAAATATGCAATCTAGCACGGTGGCATTTCTGTAAATACTTCTGAAAAATCTGTATTACACGTGTCTAGTGCAACATGAAGCTATTTCGGTGCAACGCTGTCAAATATTAGTGCAACATGAAACAGTTTTAGTGCAACATGTGCAAAATTTAAATATTACTGCAACATAAAGCTAATTTTAGTGCAACTTCGTAAATCTAATGGCTGAGATTCATTCTCATTTCTCACATTAGATGCATTTCTCACCTGAACCAATATATATATATATATATATATATATATATATATATAAGTAATAAAAATATAGTGAAAATTTAAGTTTTGACCCCTACTATATAAATTATTTAAGCCCTGGCCCCTGTAACATGTAAATCCTGGCTCCACCACTGATCGGAAAGATTATAAGAAATGAAAAAATTGGTATACTTCGTATTTTATTATAGAAAAATGGACCATATAAATAAAGAAGTGTTCTCCGGAGTTCCAGACCTTCCAGCTTGAGCTTGACGATCGATCGAAGCTACCCTCAAGCTAAGTTGTTTATTTAGAATAGATTAGGAGCCTATTTGGTAACCCTATTTTTGACTTACCAGGCTTATCGGTCAACATTTTCATCAAACACGTAACCTTTGATAATAAAAGTAATGTTAAAGTTATTTTTCCGACTGAATTGACTGAATTCATTGTAGAGGACTATTTTATCTATTTTTACATATAATTTTTTCTTTATTTTATAAATAAATTATATTTCAAATATAATTATTCATAACTCAGCATAATCATCTAATTCAACCACTTCAGCTAAAATTTCATAAATTTCAGCAAAATCAGCCGATTCAGTCGATTTTAGTGTTACTGAACCTGCTCTAGCTTGAATTCACAAAAACGCGTACATACAATTTCTTTCTTTCAATTCTCAATCTAACTCACTTATTATTAGCTTTTATTTGTTTTCAATTACAATACCTTTACAATTCAAAAAAGCGCACGCAGGTATAAACAACCGGAATTGTAATGTAGCTGTAAAAAACAGGAGCCGTGTATTTTTTTCGACTTAATGTTTTAATCGAATTAATGGAAATTGCAATTTAATCGGCCAACTATGTACTTGTGTTTAAGTAAGACTTATTTTAAAATATGACTTGTTCGTTCATATCATTTTTGATTTATTAGTGCAACCCAGTCCTCACCTTCAGACATACTATCATATGTTTCTTTTTAGTTGCAATATAAAAAATTTACACTATTCATTTCATTTTTTTAAAATTAAATACATATGACTTGTTCGCTCATATTATTTTTTATTTATTAGTGCAACCCAGCTTTGACTGCATTTTATTTATTAATCCATTAAAATTTGTGTTTTTAAATAGGGGTTTGTCCTCAAATAATACCAATTAAAGAGACTTTTCTTTTAAGTTCCAAAAATAAGACTAAATTATACTTAAGGGACTGTTACACCCTTAATAAGCCCAAACCCACTGGCCTGCTACGGTAACCCGCCACAGTGACCAAATGTGCAGTGACCAATGTTACAATTACCAATGACATAGTTACAAAATCCTCCAGTGACCAAAATCCATCAATGACCAAAATCCGCCAGTGACCAAAATCCATCAATGACCAAAATCCGCCAGTGACCAACCCGTCGCCTGCCACAGTGACTTTCCAACTGACCTTGGCGGACACAGTGACCACCACCGGCCACAGTGACACTGACCAAACAACAGTGACCACCACCGATCATTGCTGCCAACCACTGCCGACCACCGTCATCCAGGGACAGTTATACCACCGCAGTGACCTACTCCAGTGACTCGCCGTCAGTTACTCCAGTGACTCGCCGTCAGTTACTCCAGTGACTCGCCTCAGTGACCTGTCATTAGTGACATAATTTTTTCCGGTGGCCACCACCTGTCCCTCTGCCCTTGCTGCCACCATCCCCATTCATTCTCCTATAGTCCAGCCCCTGCTAGCACCAGCCCCGCCCCTGCTCACACTAACCCCACCCATCCTACTCCAATTTCTCCAATGACGTACCAGCCCCGCTCCTTGCCTTCCCAGCCCCTAATTTCGGCATACCGATTGGATCCAGACCCTAGCCTCTCAGATTTGAACTGAATCGTCACCGCTGAAGAGCTTTACTGTCGCCGCCATCGATGTAGATGATATACGCCATAGAAGTATAGCCGGAGGTCACCGAAGATCTCTCTCTCTGAGTCGCAGCTGCCGCTGCCGAAGACAGAGGTTCGCCTCCACTGTAGGAGCGAAGCCGGAGAAGTTGCTGACTGCAAGAGGTTGGAATGGGAGGAGATCGAGGTTGCAGACAGGATTAAGAGAGAAGAGAAAGATGAGGGCGCACCTTCGGAGACGGTGATGGCGGCGGTGAAGGTAGGGAGGCGGCGTGAGATGCAGGGGGCGGCTCGGAGGAATATAGCGTCGAGGTTGGCTGCAACGTCGAGGTTGGAGGAGCGTAGCGTGAACTAGGGCTTCACGATTTTACTGGGCCATTCTTTTCAGAAATTGAAGGTCATTTTAGACAATAAACATCATTTTTAATCAGTTTTTTGTCCATCCGAGATTTCCTCTTATTTTTGTCTTTTGAATAGCTGTACACCCCGTTTTTGTCATTCTTAAATATTGTTGTATTCAATTCATTACATACTTTCATAATTTGATTTTAATTTTTTTTACTAATAGAGAGTTAAATATAATGACGATCAAAGTTGTGTGTTGACAAGCATGAAAGTAAAGAATGTTGCAACGAAAAAAGAAGAGCGAAGTACATATATATGTGCAACCTCCTTTTCATCGCTAACCTTGCTAATTAAAGTAGCGCGACCTAAGTAGCGTGGTGTCAACATCTTCTTTAATTGCTATACTAGTATTATACCCGTGCGATGCACGGAAATTGAATTTATATACAATTGATATAAAATTTAAATGAATAAATGATGATAAATTTTAAAAATATTAAAGAAACATAAATAATATCACCAATTATTCATATATAAAAAATGCACGATCAATTCATATAAAACATTTTGTATATAACATAACATTAATATATATCCAACCTTAGCTATTTTTATTTAGACATAGTTCACTACCAATATTATAGACCTTTAAAAGGCAATATGTTGAGCCCATTTGGTGACCCTGTTTTCCATTTATCGGACTTACCAGTCAATTTTTTTTTTACCAAAAATACATATTTTGATTTCGCACGCTAAATTGTGTAATAATAAAAAAGTAAACCAGGATTTATTTTTCTGGCTATATTAGCTGAAGTTACTGTAGAGGATCACTTTAGCTAATTTCACATAATTTTTTCTTTATTTTATTAATAAAAACATTTTAAATACAATTATTTCATAAATAAGTAGGATCAGCCAATTCAACCACTTCAGTCAGAACTTTATAAATTTGAACAACATAAATCATTATAATTCAACCAATTTGAGTGTTACTAAACGGGCCTGTTATTATGCATTAAAGTGGAATTAAATCATACTCGTGATACATTATGCTGCTGATACAACCAATTTTGTGTTTAAGATAATATTACTTCATCTTTATACTGAAGGATATATATACTCCATCCGCCCCAAATTGATTTACAAAGTCAACATTTTATGTGAAGTAATGTTAGAGTTAAATCTTCTTAGCCTATTGATATTTAATTCAATTTTGAATAATTAAAATTTACATATTGAAAAATTACATTAAAACTCCAAATTAGAATAAAAATTGGTATCCTAATTAAGTGAATAAGATGAAATTGTTTGACCAACTAACAAAAGTCAATTTTGCAAATCAATTTGGGAAGGAGATATTATATTACATTGCATTCCAAATACTCCGTAATATATAAACACAGATGATTGATATACAACCGGTGGGCGTAGCTCAACTGGTAGCAAGGGAGTGCCACAAGGGTTAGGTCTCGGGTTCGAATCCCGGCAACTGCGATGAGGGGTTATAATGTGTGTTTTCTCGCACTTAAAATAGATCATAATATAGTGGTGTAAGTACGAGTATCGTCTCCACAGGGACGGACAAAAGGGAAATAAGAATTAACTAAATTCAGCGATTAAAAAGAAAATAAAATAAAAGCGCCGTGCGAGATTGGTTGGTTTGGAAAATAAAACTAATGCGAACAATTAAACTAGGGGGGTTCTTTCTAATTAATGACGAAGGGAACAGGGATCGATTCCGGGGTAACCAAATTTCTGGCAGATCAGGCCTAACTACATGAAAATAATTTAATTGAGCCTAGCTAATCATTACTAAGTTCTTACCGCTCTCGCGGCGTAGAGTACAATAATTTAGGGGACCAGGCTGATCTCTCATGCGACAGGATCCTAAATTATTGTCAAGACGAGCGAGCTTACGGCCCCTTAATCGCTACTAATCTCTTAGCGAACGATTAAGTGTGTGTGAATGTGTCCTAGAACAAATTAGATCTCTCTTAATTTATTCTACATGCAATTGTAATTCTAGTCGCGATTCTAGGTTACAAAAGATATCAATTAAATTATTCAAACACAAATTAAACGGCATTCATGCAATTAAACCGAAAAGAATCTAGCCATATATCATGATCAACCCCTTCATCAATCCCAATCCCTAATTAAACTACTCACAATTCATAATTGAAGAATCAATAGAATTGGGAAGAATAGAATTAATTGTCATTAATTAAAAAGATAGAACTTACAAAGAATACCAAAAGATTGATGAACAAGGCTGAAAAGCCCTCTAAAATTCGTGCTAGGCACTCACTCTAAGCTCCCCCTTGAAAACGGGGGTTTACAGGCTGTTTAAATAGAAAAATCGGGTGAAATTTGAGCTGAATTAGGATTTTCGGAGCCAGACACGATGCCAGGCCCGATCGTGCCTTCGATCGTGCCTCCGGAGCAAAAACGCGCATTTTGGGCAGGCACGATCGTGCCTCCCTCCAGGCACGATCGTGTCTGGCAGGCAGTAGCTCGGCGGTGCTTTTCTCTTGAGGCACAATCGTGTCTGACTTTGAGGGCACGATCGTGCCTACTTAACTTCCGAATTTGACAAAACTTCCTTCATGAAAGTTGTAGATAATGAAGTCCTCTATCCACCCCAATTTGCCGAATGTGATTTGAATCATCCAATCAAGAGATATGATCAAAACGGTTGAAGGTGTCTTTCTGAAATCGCAGCAGAGATCATCTGACTTCATCGTCTATTTTCACCTTCTTCCTCTCAGATTCTCGCAAAGGTGTCTTCATATTATTTGTAGCCCTTGAAGTTGGCTTTCCTTTTCAACTTGAATCGTGTCCATTGGTTTTTCCTACAAAGAGATAAGCTTGAACGATTGACAGAAGGTCATTCTGATCGTCGTTTTCAAGCTTCATTCATATTCTTTTGATCCCGAAGCCAATCCTAGAGCTCTTTTTCCTTTAAATCTTCATCGTGAATCTTCCGGTGACTTCCAAAGCTATAAAATCATTCTCAAATGCTTCTCAAATCATCCCGATTGTTCCTCAAGTGCCGGTACCGGGCTCAAATTCCCTGATTTTGACTACAAACAACACAAAACTCGAACCAACGTCCGGTAAACATAACTTGGGCTAAAATTGAGACTTGCAACACCTTAAAGCTGGGAAAACCATCAAAAGCTGATCTCAACACGCATCAAATGCATGTCTAAATACGGACTTATCAGGTTACTATGCTGAAAAATGCATAGGATCTCTGCAAGTACCGGGGACAGAGCCCCACTCTCTATCTGTCAGATTGTGATTATAGTCCAATTTACATCCTCCCATCGTGCCGTCCGGTCGGTGGTGGGGGGCCCTCAGGGATGGGGTGTCATCCTTTTTTACAGATGATTGAAAAAGAATGAACAACCCAACAATTTGTATACATATTTCATGCTACGTACTTTACTAAATATAAAATACAAACACCAATTCACCAAACGCAAGTATGAATCAAAGTGGAAATATTCAAAGGTCCAAGCACTCTACTTCTTGCTTTCTTTCGTGAACCATGCGAACCTCATTCCTGCATTTGTATCTCATTGTGACCGATAAATGCATATTGAAAATTTAGAAATGCGGCTTGCCACTAAGCGATTACAAAGGTCACCGAGGAAGTTAAACAGCATGATTTGGAGAGATGGCATGCATTACAATATTATATTATTAAGAGGGATTTTTGTAAAAAATTACTGATATCAAATTTGTTAACTGTACTACATTGTTACTAAAGCTACCATTGACTCAATGTCATGATGCTTATACGTAGCATAAGACTAAATATGCTTAAATAAAAATATATAAACTTCTTAAAAAACAACCCAAAATTGGTTTTTTATACTAACGCTAATATCCTGGTTTTCCACTTTTCATCTATTTTTGTGTTTTCAATTCCATCAATAATCCAACCGGTTTTGTTTACTAATTAACGCTAGTATCCTGGTCAATTCAGTCGAGGCATGCCGGTTTTTAAACGTAGTGTAGATAATATAATGAGTTTTTTTTAAAGGATTAATCTAATGAGATACTACGTATGTACTAACTATCTTTGAAAATCTATTTATAAAAATGAGGTTGGAAAATACTCCGTAGAAATTAGATCACATTACACTGGATCGCGCGATATTATCGCGCGGCGATATCATTTGAGAGTAAAGATGAGAGATGACCGAAAATGTCAATCTCGCTCTTAATCTTGATACTTGAGAAGCATATTAGTAATGATTATAGCCTCATAGGGATCATAGATTTGTTTTGGACCAGGGATGGAATCCGTACAGAGTCAACCAGCTCCTCCCCCATCGGCAGAAGAACAAGATCATCTCAATCGCTCTACTAAGAAAATTAAGCACGGCATATCAGTAGGATCTGGTAAGAGGTCTTTTGCAGAAACGGTGGCAGCACATTTGGGCGTACAAGAGCAAGCTAATTCAGATTGGTGTATGGAGGTGGAAGATGATTTATCTGATGATGAAGACTTTATCCCTGATGACAATGATATCCCGAGGGTTATTATATCTAAGGAGAGGAAAAAGGAAATTAGACAACAATGGAGGAAGGCTTTAATTATCAAAACCATGGGCAAAATCCCGTTCCCAGTTCTGCAGTCCCGACTACTGAGGATGTGGAATCCTCATGGCAGATTGGAGTTCATTGATCTAGGTTATGGATACTATTCTATCAAAATGGATCTACAGAGGGATTACTTTCATATTCTAATGGAAGGTCCTTGGAAGATTTTTGATCAGTACATCATTGTGAATCGCTGGGTACCGAATTTTCAACCATCTCTCGCTAAGCCGGAAAAAATGGCAGTATGGGTTAGATTACCTGGACTTCCAACTGAGTATTTTGTAGAAGACATTATAAAAGCAATCCTTGAAAAAGTAGGAACTCCGCTTAAGCTCGACAGAACAACAATGTCAGTTTCCCGAGGAAGATTTGCTAGAGCAGCTGTAGAGGTGGATTTATTGAAACCACTGGTACCTTATGTTTGGGTTGGGAAAAGGAAACAAGCTGTTGAATATGAAGGCCTCCATATCATATGTTTTGGCTGTGGATAGGGGAGAGCAAACCCGACCCTACCCGATTGACCCGACCGGATATATCCGATTATTTTTTTTGGGTCGGATAACCCGACCCGAATCACCCAAACCCCACCCGATTTTTCCAACCCGAGAATTAAGCGGGTAGCGGGTAGGGTTACCAATTATGCTACCCGACCCGCCCGAAAACCCGAACTAGCGTAGTGTATATACTACTTTGAATTATTATGCATGTTCAAATATCTCAATTGTTGTATGTCAATTACCATATTATGCATATTCAAGTATTTCAATTACCGTATTTGTAAAACTATAACTTTGAATGTTGTATTGTTATGACTTTGAATGATATTTTGACCAATTATCATTTTATTTATCACAATATCAAATATGTATATCACCGTATATTATTATTTTACATGTTCAAATATGTCGATTATCGTATTTATACAACTATTACTTTGAATGTTATACTAGTGTAACTTTGAATGATATTTTTACCAATTACCATTTTATTTATCACAATTTTAACAATAATAAATTAAAATCCGAATGGACCCGAAAACTGAATCAACCTGACCGAAACCCGAATATAACCCGACCCGAAAAACCCGATATATTTTTTGATAGGGTAGGGTTTGAAATTATCAATCTGATACCCGAACGGGTTTACCATTTTCGAACCCGACCCGCCCGAACCCGACCCGTGCTCTGCCCTAGCTGTGGAGAATATGGGCATAGGCAGGAAATTTGTTATCACAAACCTCAATCTCCTCTAGCTGGGGTCAAAGAGGTTCATGTGGAAGAGGAGACTAACTCAGTCAGTAAATCAACACTTGATAAACCAGGAGGAAACTTTGGGCCACACATGCTAGTCAAAAATTATTCTTGGAAAGGAAATAGTGAAGGAAAGGGGATTAAAAAAGCAGGAAAACATAAACAACATGAAACCGCCGTTATTAAAGAAGGGGAGAACCGTTTTGCTTTATTGGCTATTAATGAAGAGGAAAAAGAGGGATGTCCTGAACCAACAAAACAAAGTGGGGGAAAGAAAGTGACTTTACAGGAGGCTAAATTGGGGCCTTTTGATTCTTCAAAAGAAAAACCTAAGCTGAAAAAGACTAGGCAAGTCTTGGGCACAGAAGCTTTTCTTTCACACAAACCCCAAAACAGAGATAAGGATGCGGCTACCAAATATCAAGCAAATGAGAAAAAAGAACTAAAACAGAAACCTCCAACTAAAGAGCAAGTAGGAACTTCACACGCACTAGAAGTTTTTCTTCAACCAACAAATGGTGGTATTTTCCAGTTTGGTTCCACAAACCAACCGACGGGGGAGTCACTGAATGCTATCAAGGGTCTGGAAAGGAAGAAATTACATGATCTAGACATGAACATAGTTCAGGAGGGAGAGCAAGGAGATGGTGAGGAGCTAGTTATGGAAATGGTCCCGGATGCCAATACAGGTTCTATGGAGGTTTCAACTTCCGTCTTATCTGAACAATCCTTATGAAAGTGCTTACTTGGAATTGTCGGGGAACTGTTAATAAGCGTGCCATATGTCATGTTAAGGAGCTTGTCAGGATGCATCATCCCGATATTTTAGGATTGCTTGAAACTAAGTCAGCCAATTCTCAAAGGATGGTTAGCATGGCTAAATCTCTTGGAATGGTTGGTTGGGACTGTATTCCCCCATTGGGTTTCGCTGGGGGTATCCTCCTCCTATGGAATCCCAGTAAGGTGGAGCTCACTGTCATAGAAAAAACAAGTCAAGCTTTGCATTGCAATGTGATCTCGAATGATTTGCATATTATTTGCTCTCTGTTATACATTCGTCCTAACCAGGCAGCCAAGGAAAGATGTTGGACAAAATTGAGGGAGTTCAAAAGAAGACATTCTGGTCCGTGGCTCGCTATGGGGGATTTCAACAGTACGCTCTGGGCATCAGAACAGTGTGGTGGAAACATTTTGTGGAATGCTATGGACTGGTTCAGGGATCAACTAAGTAGTTGTGATCTCTACGATGTGGGAACAGAAGGGGCACCCTTTACGTGGATCAAACGAGAAGGATCACGAGTGACCCTTCGGAAACGTTTAGATAGAGTGGTATGGAACGAGGAAGCTCACATGATATTTCCAGAAGGGAAGGTGTTTAATCTGCCTCGTCTCCACTCTGATCATCATCCAGTGATGTTCTCAAGTAGTATTGATCGTCGTGCCAATACAAGAGGCCGTCCAATACGCTTCGAGGCTGCCTGGTTAATACACAGTGCATTGAAGCAAATTTTTGTCAGCTCGTGGAGTTCTAAGAAAGATGTTATTGAACAAGCTATCCATGAAGCTATGAGTAATAGTAAGACATGGAGCAAAGAAGAATTCGGGGATATTTTCCGTCAAAAAAGACATCTCATGGCCAGAATTAAGGGCATCCAAAATTCCCGTAATTATTCCAATTCACACTCTGAACAAATGTTAGAAAGGGCTCTTGAGGTTCAATATAACAATATTCTTGACAGAAAAGAGATGTTGTGGTTCCAGAAATCAAGAGAGGAATGGATTAGAGGTGGTGACCGCAACACAAGTTATTTCCATAAAACAACTCTAATCCGTCGCAATAAAAGCACGATTGGGAGACTCAAGATTAATGGAGTCTGGACCTCAGATCAAGAGATTATGGGTGACCATGTACGACAATATTATGCTGATCTTTTTGAAGACAAAGCTTGTCAGAACAACCTATTTCAAGACTTGGACTGCCCAAAAATCTCATTTAACCAAAGTCATGACTTGATGAAAGTGGCGGATATTGATGAAGTGAAGACTACACTTTTCAGCATGAAAAATTACAGTAGCCCAGGCCCGGACGGACTACAGGCAGTAGTTTATAAGAAGTTTTGGGAGACAGTGGGACCAACAATTACAGAATTTGTGAATACCGCCCTGCTCACAGGCACTATCCCGGCACAGATTTTGAAAGCTCATCTCGTTCTAATACCTAAGGGTGAAATCCAGGAGGATGCTAGCAACTTCCGGCCCATAACACTACTCAATGTAGTATATAAAGTGGTTTCTAAGTTGTTAGTCAATCGTATGAAGAACTGGATTGGGGATTTGATCGGCCCGTTCCAGAACAGTTTTCTTCCAGGGAGAAGTACAACTGATAACATTGTTCTAACGCAGGAGGTTGTCCATACACTCAAATCAAAAAGGGGCAAAAAAGGTGGATTTATTATGAAGCTTGATCTTCAGAAAGCATATGATTGCTTGGACTGGAGGTTCCTTGAAAACACCTTGAAGGACTTTGGCTTTCCGGAAGCATTTATAAACTTGATCATGAACTCTGTGATGAATATCCAAATTGGTATTATCTGGAACGGAGAAGTTATGCAAGATATCAAACCAAATAGAGGCCTTCGACAAGGAGACCCCCTCTCACCATACTTATTCATTTTGGCTATGGAACGGTTATCGCATCTCATAGGCAAAGAAGTGAATCTTAAGAACTGGAAACCATTAAGGATTGGAAAAGCAGGTGTCAGACTCTCCCACCTCTTTTTTGCTGATGATTTACTACTCTTCGGTGAGGCTTCTGATAGTCAAATGAGGGGAGTCTTAAACACCATGGAAACCTTTTCAATGGCTTCGGGGCTGATTGTGAACAAGGAAAAGTCTATGATTTATTTCTCTCAAAATCTTGAAAGAGAGAAGGCCAGAGAACTACAAATCATGACAGGTTTCAAATCTACTTCAAATCTCGGTGTTTATCTAGGAGCACCTATTATGCATGGAAGAAAATCCAAAAATAAGTACTCCTTTATTCTGGATAGTGTGAAGAAAAAATTATCTGCTTGGAAAGAAAAAACTCTTACTTTTGCAGGCAGAAAAACGTTAATTCAAGCGGTGACGACAGCAATACCACAACATGTCATGCAAAGTGTACTCCTTCCTGTCAGTGTTTGCCATAACATTGATAGATTGAATAGGAAATTTCTATGGGGTAGTAGTGAAGGAGCACAAAAAATTCACCTAATCAATTGGGATGAGGTTTGTCAGCCTAAATCAGTGGGGGGGCTCGGACTACGAAAGGCAAAGGCAAGTAACAAAGCCTTGCTTGCAAAGTTGGGATGGGAAATCATTATGGATGCGCCAAAATTGTGGGTTAAAGTCATGAAAGCTAAATATATGAGGACTGGATCCTTTTGGGAGGCTGAAAGAAAAACATGTTCCTCTCAGGTATGGCGGGATATAATTCGTTGCAAGGATACCTTACGTAATGGCTTGGGGTGGCAGGTTGGAACAGGGAGGGATATCTCATTTTGGTTTGATAATTGGGCGGGTGAAACAACATTACATGAGGAACTTGGTTCCCCCCTCCCTGCTACATCACAGTTAGTCATGGTCGAAGACTTCATTAATAATGAACGGGGCTGGAAGGTGGCAAACCTAGAAGAGCTACTTCCGGAGGAAGTTGTAGATAAAGTGAGAGCAGTCCCAATTCCAGTGGAGGAAGGTTTCCGAGATAGCCTTTACTGGAGATTATCAAAAAATGGTGCATTCACAGTGAAATCAGCCTATGAAAATGAATTTAAAAAACAAGATAATATAGACTTTGAGTGGCTGTGGAAAATCAGTGCGGCAGAAAAAATTCGATGCTTCTTGTGGATCGTCATCAAGAATAAAATTCTAACAAACTCGGAAAGAGCTAAACGTCACCTTACGGAGAATAGTCTTTGCCCCATATGTAATCGCGGGGAAGAAACTGCTCTACACCTGTTTCGGGACTGTTCATTTGCTGAAGAGTGTTGGAGACGTTCTTCATGTCACTTCACCGGTGCAGGGGAGAATATAATTATTTCTTTGGAGTGGGTTAGAAAGCAATGCCATGGTGCGCCAGTTACTAGAGGCCGATCTCCGCACGCTTCTAAATTTGCATACATCGTCTGGTATATTTGGAAGGCACGCAACTCACTAGTCTTTCAAGAAACTCTGCCGGGCGTGGATCGGGTAGTGGGAACAGCCTTACTTAAAGCTGAAGAGTATACTAGCTCGAGTATGATTGATGGAATTAAACAAAAGAGGGTACCTAGGACTATCAAATGGCAACCACCAGAGGCAGGAACCTTCAAACTCAACTGTGATGGATCATGTCGAGGGAGTGAAAGGGATGCCGGGGCAGGCGGTGTTATTCGCAATCATAGAGGAGATTGGATTTGTGGATTCCTTTTAAATATTGGGAAAACGGATAGTTTTCAAGCGGAACTTTGGGGATTACGGCAAGGTCTTTTGTTGGCTCGTGATCTAAATCGTAGTCGGGTCATGGTGGAGGGCGATTCAGAAAGCATGATTAAAGTGGTCAGAAGTACGCAAACGTCTCATAAAACAGCTA